TATGGATCATTGCAATGACAGAGGAGAACCCATCTCAAAGGAAATCTGGGCCTCCCATAACAAGATGGTGATGCAGCCGCTCGACTCCAACGACCCTGAAGTGAGTATTTCTTGGGTTTCATTTCCATTTCCAATTTTCCCATCATCCTAACATGGGACCGGAGTTTGTTTATTTACAGTGTTTATATTCTGCTGTTCTCACCCCAAAACGAACTCAGGGCAGATCACAGAACATACATAGGCGGCAAACATTCAATGCTGTTTATACACTGACAACACAGACAATTGTACATAGAAAGAGGTATGTATAGGCTTTTCTCCATCTTTGGCATCTTGGAGGTTGTGCTCGGTTCCGGTCACAAGGGGTGCTGTCGCTCCATCTTCCCAGCTTAAGAGCTTTATTTGTAAACTTCCTCATTGATCGGATTGCCAGCATTTTTCTGGCATTTTCTTATGGTTGCCTTAAAATACCTCCCAACTTTTAAGCAGTACCTATTTATCTACCCATATTTTGCTTTTGAACCGCTAGGTAGGTGGAAGCTGGGCTAAAGGCCAGGAGCTTACCTTGACTTCGAACTGTTAACCTTTCAACTGACATGATTTACTGCAGCTGGTGGTTTAATCTGCTGTGCTAAAGTTGGTCCAAAGGGCTTTACCAGGGATAGAATCATAGAATCCTAGAGTTGGAAGAGACCCCCCCAAAGACCATCCGGTCCAACCTCCTTCTGCTATAAAGGAAGACACAATTAAAGCCTTCTTGACAGGCAGCCATCCTGCCTCATAGAATTCTAGAGTTGGAAGGGGCCCCATAGGCCATCCAGTCCAACCTCCTTTGACCATAAAAGAAGATAGAATTATTATTATTATTATTATTATTATTATTATTATTATTATTATTATTACTATTAGACTCATAGTTAGAAGAGACGCCAGGAGTCATCCAATCAACCCCATTAGCCCATAAAGGAAGATATAATAATAATAATAATAATAATAATAATAATAATAATAATAATAATAATTTGAAACAGAAGATGAGTCCACAGTACACAAGATCACTCCGCTGGCTGTTGTATTAGATCACACATTGGACAACAATAACAATAACAATAATAATAAAAAAACAATAACAACAACAATAATAATTCTACCTTCCTTTATGGCTGAAGGGGGTTGGACTGGATGGCCCTTGGAGTCCCTTCCAACTCTGAGACTACTATTACTAATAACAATAACAATAATAATTATTGTTATTAGTATTATTATTATTATTAGTAGTAGTAGTAATAGTAGTAGTAGTCTCAGAGTTGGAAGGGACTCCAAGGGCCATCCAGTCCAACCCCCTTCAGCCATAAAGGAAGATAGAATTATTATTATTATTATTATTATTATTATTATTATTATTATTAGACTCATAGAGTTGGAAGGGACTCCAAGGGCCATCCAGTCCAACCCCATTTTTTGGCCATAAAGAAAATAGAATTATTATTGCTGCTGCTGCTACTACTACTACTATTAGATTCATAGTTGGAAGGGATCCCAAGGGACATCCAGTCCAACCCCATTCGGCTATAAAGGAAGATAGAATTATTATTATTATTATTATTATTATTATTATTAGAATCATAGAGTTGGAAGGGACTCCAAGGGCCATCCAGTCCACCGCCATCTGCCATAAAGGTAGACACAATCAAAGTCCTCCCAAAAGAAGACCATTCAGCCTCTGCTTTAAAAATTCCGGAGAAGCATCATAATCATCATCATTGTAAAAGATGATGATAGACTCCTACTAGAATTAATAGGGACCACAAAATGCCATCCAGTCCAACTATTTTCTGCCCTGATATTGTGGTCTAACATAATATTATCCTAAGTGAAGCCTAACCAAAGCAGAAGAGTGTAAAGCTATAACTTCTTTTACTCCGGACGTTATATTCCTATTGACACACAGTAGAATGGCATTGACCTTTTAAGCTGCTGCATCACAATCTTGGCTCATATTCCACTTGGAATATTTTGCATGGCCGGTTTCCAAGCCAGGTATCACCCATCCTATATCTGTGCATTTTGTTTTTGTTGCCAAACATCTCTTCCCCGTTAAAGTATGTTTTGTTGCCCTTGCTTGGGGTCCTCTTGGCTGAGCCTTGGCCTCCTTTCGTCCTCTTGCTTTCAGGTCTTTGACATCATCAAGAAGGAGAAGCGCCGGCAGAGGACGGGCTTGGAGCTCATTGCGTCGGAGAACTTTGCCAGCCGCGCTGTTTTGGAGGCCCTGGGCTCCTGCCTCAACAACAAATATTCGGAGGGCTATCCAGGGCAAAGGTGGGCAGAGGATCTGAGTGCACACACAGAGACCCAGGCCGCATTGCCTCGAGTCTCATGCGCCATCAAATCTCGGGCATACTTCTATTTCCAACACCCTGAGACCAACCCCCCCCCTCAAAAAAAAACCCTATTTGCTGCCGAATGTAATGTGCAGCGGTCAAAGGTCCCCTCTTTGTCAAATACAAATGTTTGTAAAATCATGAAATACAGATGTTAGCAAAAAAAATAATAATCCTAAAATGCAGACATTTGCAAAAATCCTAAAATGCAAATCGTATGTAAAATCATGAAATGCATTTGTTTGCAAAATCATGAAATATAGATGTTTTGCAAAAATTCTAAAATGCAAATTGTACGCAAAATCATGAAATACAGATGTTTTGCAAAAAATATAAAATACAGACGTTAGCAAAAATCCTAAAATGCAAATCGTATGTAAAATCATGAAATGCAATTGTTTGCAAAATCATGAAATATAGATGTTTTGCAAAAAATATAAAATATAGACGTTAGCAAAATCATGAAATACAGATGTTTTGCAAAAAATATAAAATACAGACGTTAGCAAAAATCCTAAAATGCAAATCGTATGTAAAATCATGAAATGCAATTGTTTGCAAAATCATGAAATATAGATGTCTGCAAAAATCCTAAAATGCAAACCGTATGCAAAATCATGAAATACAGATGTTTGCAAAAAATATCATAAAATATAGACGTTTGCAAAAATCCTAAAATGCAAATCGTATGTAAAATCATGAAATGCAATTGTTTGCGAAATCATGAAATACAGATATTTTGCAAAAAAATCATAAAATATAGATGTTTGCAAAAATCCAAAAACGCAAATGTATGTAAAACCATGAAATGCAATTGTTTGCAAAATCATGAAATATAGATCTTTGCAAAAAATATCATGAAATACAGATGTTTGCATCAATCCTAAAATGCAAATCATACGCAAAATCATGACATATAGATGTTTGCAAAATCATGAAATACAGACGTTTGCAAAAATCCTAAAATGCAAATCTTATGTAAAATCATGAAATGCAATTGTTTGCAAAATCATGAAATACAGATGTTTTGCAAAAACAGAAGTGCTACAGCATCAGAACTTCCAGCAATGGAAAGGAAAACTTTGGGGCGCATCTCTGTTGCAGAATGAATCTATGTTAACTGCCTTGGTTAAATGCTATGGAGGCTGTAGTCCTGCAAGGTTTTGAACCTTCTCTGCCCAAGAATGCTGATGCTGCACTAAACAACCCATCCCAGGATTGCATAGCACTGAGCCGTGCCCATTAAATTAGAGATGAGGTCCTGAAGCAGCTTCCCCTTTTGCTTGGGCTCAGCACTAAGATCACGATATTGCAAATGTAATGCGCACCCTGATTTTGGAGAGGGAATTTAGACAAAAAAGGCGAGCATTAGACTCAAGTCAATAGGGTATATAACCCATTTCCTCCAATTCTGTGTGCTCAAGCATAGCTAATTTCTTCTCCTTGGCAGATATTATGGCGGGACGGAGTTTGTGGACGAACTGGAGCGGCTGTGCCAAAAGCGAGCCCTTGAAGCCTATGGGCTGGACCCCCAGAAGTGGGGCGTCAATGTCCAGCCGTATTCAGGTACCATCATAACCTTTAATTGAACATTGAGACATTGATACAAAACTGCCAGACCATTGTCCACCCATTGTGTCAAAAACATCTCCTTTTACTCTTTGCAAAATAGAATAATAGAATCCTAGAGCTGGAAGGGGCTCCCAAAGGCCATCCGGTCCAACCCCCTTCACCTGAAAAATAAGGCAATAATACTAAAATAAATCCCTCCCAGCAGATGGCCATCCAGAGTTACTCTTTTCAAAATAGACCACTGAACTCTTGAGTTCATTCAACCCAACCTCCTCTAGCCAGGAAATCAGACAGTAATCAAAGCATTCCCAACAGATGGCCATCCAGACAACTCTTATTCTTTGCAAAATAAAATAATAGAACTCTAGATTTGGAAGGAGCCCGCAAAGGCAATCTAGTCCTTTCCCCTTTTGCATGATAGGAAGGCATCACCAAAGCCCTCCCAACAGATGGCCATCCAGACAGCTCTTTGCAAAATAAAATCATAGAACCCTAGATTTGGAAGGCACCCCCAAAGGCCATCTAGTCCTTTCCCCTTTTGTACGATAGGAAGGCATCACCAAAGCCCTCCCAACAGATGGCCATCCAGACATCTCTTTGCAAAATAAAATCAGAACCCTAGATTTGGAAGGCACCCCCAAAGGCCATATAGTCCTTTCCCCTTCTGTATGATAGGAAGACATCACCAAAGCCCTCCCAACAGATGGCCATCCAGACATCTCTTACTCTTTGAAAAATAAAATCATAGAACCATAGATTTGGAAGGGACCCCCAAAGGCCATCTAGTCCTTTCCCCTTCTGTATGATAGGAAGACATCACCAAAGCCCTCCCAACAGATGGCCATCCAGATATCTCTTACTCTTTGCAAACTAGAATCAGAATCCTAGAGTTGGAAGGGACCCCCACATGCCATCCAATCGTACTCCTTTAAGCCCTCCCAACAGATGGTCATCCAGCTTCAGCTTAAAGACCTCCAGAGAAGGTGACTCCAAGATGATGATGGCACTCTGTAACAAAATTTGAAAAAATGTTCTATTCCTGGTTTGAAAGTGTTATTACCTGTTTCAATGTGTGGGCCTTACTTTGAAAGTAGATATTCTACTCCAGAATTTTTGTATTGGTGGCTGCCACCAACGGGTTTTATGTAAATACTCAAAAACATTTAACCTATTTATTTATTTACTGTATTTCTATACCACCTTTCTCAGCCTGCGGGCGACTTAAGGCGGTTTACAGAGGCAAGATTCAATGCCCAGTAACATTTGGTATTCCATGGTTGATCTGTGGCTATCCAGCCATTGACAGTTTTGGTCTCTGAATCGTTCCCAGCTCTCACCTTTTTACTTTCAGGGTCTCCAGCAAACTTTGCTGTTTACACGGCTCTGGTCGAGCCCCATGGGAGGATCATGGGCTTGGATCTGCCGGACGGGGGTCACCTGACCCACGGTTTCATGACTAATAAGAAGAAGATTTCGGCCACCTCCATCTTTTTCGAGTCCATGCCTTACAAGGTGAGACCTTGCATTGGATCAATGTAGCCCAGGCATGGGCAAACTTGGGCCCCTTCCTCCAGGTGTTTTGGTCTCCAACTTCCACCATTCCTAACAGCCTCAGGCTCTTTCCTTTTCCCCCTCAGCCGCTTAAGCGGCTGAGGGGGAAAAGGAAGGGGCCCGAGGCTGTTAGGAATGGTGGAAGTTGGAGACCAAAACACTTGAAGGGCCAAACTTTGCCCATGCTTGTAGCTGCATTGTTTGTGTCCCAAACCCATGCTTTGTTTGTGCATTGTTTGTGTCCCAAACCCATGCTTTGTTTGTACATTGTTTGTGTCCCAAACCCAGGTTTGCCCATGCTTGATGCTGCCCATCTTTCTATCCGAAAGCCCAGGGCTAACTATCTTAACTTTTGCAAAGAAAGCCAACATCATTATCACAACAGTATCACAACCACAAATTTAACTATCACAAGGAGCCCCCGGTGGCGCAGTGGGTTAAAGCACTGTGCCGACAGTACTGAAGACCGACAGGTCGCAGGTTCGAATCCGGGGAGAGGCGGATGAGCTCCCTCTATTAGCTCCAGCTCCTCATGCGGGGACATGAGAGAAGCCTCCCACAAGGATGATAAAACATCAAAAATCATCCAGGCGTCCCCTGGGCAACGTCCTTGCAGACGGCCAATTCTCTCACAACAGGAACGGTTGCTCCTGACACGACAAAAAAAAAAAAATCACAACATTGCAAATTGTAAAATAATACAGATGTTTGCAAAATCATGAAATGGAAATGTTTGCAAAATCATGAAATTACAAATGTGTGCAAACTCATAAAAATACAAACGTTTGCAAATAATGCGCAAAGGCAATTGAGACAAGGGTGCTGTAAGATTGTAGGATCAATAACCCACATCAACCCAGTGATTCTGGCCATCAACGCCTTCAACAACACATTATTTCCTTGGGTTTTTTTCTTCTTCAGGTCAACCCCGAGACGGGATACATAGACTATGACCGTTTGGAGGAAAACGCCCGCTTGTTCCATCCAAAACTCATCATTGCAGGTAATGAATCGAGAAACAGACAAGTGGGAACCCTTTCCCCAAATCCTCACATCTAGGAAACATTGCTCTTTTGGTGGGGGACTACAATGCCCAGAATCTCACTTGCCAGCAGTATTACCCAGGGTAATAATGGACAAATACTTAGGAGCTGGGAATGTTTGGCTTGGAGAAGAGAAGGTTGAGAGAATATTTACCTGATGGAGTCTCCCTAGATGGCCATATGGATTCAGTTATCTCATATTGTTGGGCAGACGGGCTTATTTACAAAATAGCCTCCTCATAAATGCAAAACAGAGTAACTTATTAGCAGCAGCGTGACCCAGCACCAGTAGCCCAAAGTGATAAAAAGAACAAAAACACACGGACCAACGTTACCTCTTCCATAGGAGGCTTTTCTTTGTAGTAAAATAATATGGTTGCACTATTTACAACAACACAGTTTCCATAACACAAATAAAGTTCTTTATACTTCCTTCTTTGCTTCCACGCTGGGCTTCTTTCTCATGCAGATAAACAGCTTTCGCCCTCACTGAGCTTCCTCTCACACCGAACTTACACAGGAGCTTTACACACGGCAGCCTTCACACTGGAGCTTCACATACAATGGACTTCAACCTGGGCTTCTCTCACACTGAGGCCTTCTCATATGGATGCCTACTTACTGAGGCCTTCTCACACCGAGGCGCTCTCACACTGGGCTCTCTCAGATTGATGCCTCTCATACAATGAGGCCTCTCTCAGACTGAGGGTGAACTAACACCGAGGCCTTCTAAGCTTACATTGAACTATAGCTTTTCATAGAATCATAGAGTTGGAAGATACCTCATGGGCCATCCAGTCCAACCCCCTGCCAAGAAGCAGGAATTTTGCTGAGTCATTGGATCCATTTGACCCTTTCAGTGCTTGACTCACATTTTTGTAATTAAAAATACATAGATAATTTTTAATATTTCTGACACATATGATCGGTTTCTCCTTTCTTAAGGGTCAGCTGCTACTTGTACAACCCATTTTAAGCAGATGCTAGATGGCGATCTGTCAGGGGGGCTTTTTAGTGCATGCCAGAAGCAGGTTGGATTGGATTGGGTGACCCTTCGAACTTTGTATTGTCGAAGGCTTTCATGGCCAGAATCACTGGGTTGTTGTAGATTTTTTCGGGCTATATGGCCATGTTCTAGAGGCATTCTCTCCTGACGTTTCGCCTGCATCTATGGCAAGCATCCTCAGAGGTAGTGAGGTCTGTTGGAACTAGGAAAAAGGGTTTATATATCTGTGGAATGACCAGGGTGGGACAAAGGACTCTTGTCTGCTGGAGCTAGGTGTGAATGTTTCAACTGACCACCTTGATTACCATACAATGGCCTGACTGTGCCTGGAGCAATCTTTTGTTGAGAGGTGATTAGATGTCCTTGTTTGTTTCCTCTCTGTTGTTTTGCTGTTTGTTGAGAGGTGATTAGATGTCCTTGTTTGTTTCCTCTCTGTTGTTTTGCTGTTGCAATTTTAGAGTTTTTTAAATACTGGAAGCCAGATTTTGTTCATTTTCATGGTTTCCTCCTTTCTGTTGAAATTGTCCACATGCTTGTGGATTTCAATGGCTTCTCTGTGTAGTCTGACATGGTGGTTGGAGTGGTCCAGCATTTCTGTGTTCTCAAATAAAATACTGTGTCCAGGTTGGTTCAGCAGGTGCTCTGCTATGGCTGATCTCTCTTTCTCTTCGAACTTTTATTTTCTATGACTGATTTCTCCATCCTCTGGGGTCCGCTGGTATATGCAGAACCTGTGGCGGAATGAAAATCATGCATAGTTCACATCACATGCAAAGCCCCCCTGACAGATCGCCATCTAGCATCTGCTTAAAATGGGTTGTACAAGTAGCAGCTGACCCTTAAGAAAGGAGAAACCGATCATATGTGTCAGATATTCCATGTGGATGATCATTAAATAATATCAGTGTTTACTCTTTGTTATGCAGAGCAACATATATTATTATTACTATTTACAGTATTTGTATACTGCCCCTTTCAGCCTTCCAGTGACTCGAGGCGGTTTACAAGGCAAAATTCAATACCACCAAAAACACAGTTTACAATATAAAATCTTTAACATCAATAAAATCATAACAACTGTAATAAAGCATAATTCAATGTATACAGTCATGTGAACAGTTGCATTGACTCACACAATGTTCCTTGAGAGAGACTCAAATATTCCTTGCATGTCCGTGTGAAGGATCTTCTTCCGACAGCCCAGAAGCAGAAAATATACTAACTTGTCTTGGCAAACTCTGGCACAGAAAACCTAAACATGTAACTGTGTACAAACTCCCAGGCTCAGCTAGCCTCTCAGGCATGGCCCAAGCAATCAGCTTCGTGCTTTGCATTTTTCAGTTAACACACTCAACAAACAATTTTAACATGCTCCAACAGAACCTGTTTTTAAGCAGAGGCTGGATGGCCATCTGTCAGGAGGGCTTTAAGTGCATGGTAGAATGGGATTCAGGTGGATGGCCTTTGGGTGCCACTTCCAACTCCTATTGTCTATGACTGATTTCGCCTTCCTTAGGGGTCAGCTGCTACTCGCGGAACCTGGACTATGCCCGCATGCGGAAGATTGCAGATGAGAACAGCGCCTACTTAATGGCTGACATGGCCCATATCAGTGGCCTGGTGGCGGCCGGCGTGGTGCCCTCACCCTTTGACCACTGCGACGTTGTCTCCACCACGACCCACAAGACCTTGCGTGGATGCCGGGCCGGGATGATCTTCTACCGGAAAGGTGAGGAGGGAAGATCAAACATTGAGTAATTTATATTGTTCGTTGTTGTTTATTCGTTCAGTCGCTTCCGACACTTCGTGACCTCATGGACCAGCCCACGCCAGAGCTCCCTGTTTATATTATTTTTGTTCCTGGGTTATAAATGTCATTTCCTAATTGGGAAAAGTTTATTAAACTGCAAAAACTTTGTTTTTGCGGGACTTCCTCCATCACATTTCTATGGGGCAGATCAGGCATAAATAGCACTATATTTATACCCCTATCCAATCCCTGTCTCTTTGTCTTTCAGGAGCCCGCAGCGTGGACCCGAAAACAGGAAAGGAAATCCTATACAATTTGGAAAGCCTCATCAACCAAGCTGTGTTTCCGGGTTTACAAGGAGGGCCCCATAACCACGCCATTGCAGGTAAGTAGCTGCTGGCATTATATATATGCGCATTTCAGTGTTGATCTGGGATGAGCATGGTTCGAATCCTGGCTCAAGAGTCATGGGAGCTGTAGTTTCCCAAGTCCTTGAACCTTCTCTGCCAAAAATCACAGATGCCTCACCAAACTACATATCCCAGAATTCCATAGCATTGAGTCCTGGTTATTAAATTAAGAGATCCCAGCTGCGACCATACCTCGTGAAGTCTGATCTGGCCCCAGTGGTCCATACCTTAGTTACATCTAGTTTGGATTATTGCAACGCACTCTATGTGGTGCTGCCCTTGAAGACGGCCCGGAAAGTTTAATTGGTCCAATGATCGGCAGCCAGATTGCTAATTGGAGCGAATTACAGGGAGCGGTCTACCCCCCTGTTTAAGGAGCTCCATTGGCTGCTGTTCATTTTCCAGTCCCAGCTGATCCCTAATCTATCTAAAACACAGACATGTGCCTTTCACCTTAACAACAGACAAGCATTCCGAGCTCTGAGGATTACCTGGGAAGGAATCCCACTGGAGCATTGCAGCACACCCAAATACCTGGGAGTCACTCTGGACCGTGCTCTGACCTACAAGACGCACTGCCTGAACATCAAGCAAAAAGTGGGTGCTAGAAACAATATCATACGAAAGCTGACTGGCACAACCTGGGGATCACAACCAGACACAGTGAAGACATCTGCCCTTGCGCTATGCTACTCTGCTGCTGAGTATGCATGCCCAGTGTGGAACACTTAAAACAGTGGATGTGGCTCTTAATGAGACATGCCGCATTATCACGGGGTGTCTGCGCCCTACACCACTGGAGAAATTACACTGCTTAGCCGGTATTGCACCACCTGACATCCACCGGGAAGTAGCAGCCAATAGTGAAAGGACCAAGGCAGAGACATCTCCAGCTCATCCCCTGTTTGGGTATCAGCCAGCACATCAACAACTTAAATCTAGAAATAGTTTTCTAAGATCTACAGAGACACTCGCTGGAACACCTCAGCAAGCGAGAGTCCAAAAGTGGCAGGCTCAAACCCAGAACCTCAACCAATGGCTGATACCCAATGAGAGACTCCCCCCTGGGCACACAGAAAACTGGGCGACTTGGAAGGCGCTGAACAGACTGCGCTCTGGCACCACGAGATGCAGAGCCAGCCTTCAGAAATGGGGCCACAAAATGGAATCCACGACATGCGAGTGCGGAGAAGAGCAAACCACTGACCACCTGCTGCAATGCAACCTGAGCCCTGCCACATGCACATAGGAGGACCTTCTTGCGGCAACACCAGAGGCACTCCAAGTGGCCAGCTACTGGTCAAAGGACATTTAATCAACTACCAAGCTTGCAAACTTTGTGTTTTGTCTGTTTGTTTGTTTGTTTTGTTAAAAATGTAATACAACTGTTTGGTTACCTGACATGATAAATAAATAAATTTTCCAGTCCCAATTCAAGGTGCAGGTTATCACCTACAAAGCCCTGAATGGTTTGGGACCTGCCTACCTTTGTGATTCCCCCCCTACGAACCTGCACAATCCCTTCAGTCTTCAGGAGAGGCCCATCTCTCGCTCCCGCCTCCATTGCAAGTGCAGCTTGTGGGGATGAGGGAGAGGGCCTTCTCCGTGATGGCCCCTCGGTCTGAAACTCGCTCCCCAGGGAGATTGGGCAAGCACCCACCCTGGCAACTTTTAGGAAAAGCTTAAACACTTGGCTTTTCCGGTGTGCTTTTGAGGAATAAACTAATTCCCATACCATGTCTCGTGCCAATACTAATTTGTCTTTTTGATGTACTTATCTCATCCCTCAGTGAAGATTAACATTGTTTATCCCACTTGAGTCTTACACTAGACACAGCATTATATTTATCAATCTCCCCCAGGGGTTTTACAATTTTACCCTTCATATTATTTTTATTGCATTACTTTGTTATTGTTAACCATTTTATTTGATGTTATTGTCTGTTTGTATGTATTTTATTTTGCCTTATTGTGATTACTTGGGCTTGGCCTCATGTTAGCCGCCCCGAGTCCCTTCGGGGAGATGGTGGCGGGGTAAAAACATTATTATTATTATTATTATTATTATTATTATTATTATTATTATTATTATTATCCTTCCCCTTTGGCTTTGGCTCAGCACTTAGATCACTGTATGACGCAAATCTGATGTTCATCCTAATGTTGGCAAGGTCATTTAGCCCACTAGATTTGAGTAAATATTTTAATTGTCAAGATTCCTCTTAAGGTATCTCTAATATCCAGTACCATAGGTCTGAGCTTGCAATTTGCATGCAAAATCCTCAAACCATAGCACAGAAACTACTCACGCTTTTCTCTGTGTTTCTTTGGCCAGGGATCGCCGTTGCTCTGAAGCAAGCCATGACTCCCGAGTTCAAAGCCTACCAGCAGCAGGTGGTGGCCAACTGCAAGGCTCTGTCGAAGGCCCTCATCGGTTTGGGGTACCACATTGTCACAGGTAAGGAGACTGATTTTGAGCTCTACATCCTTAAAATGGGGTGGGAATCAAGTTACCCTCCAGATACTGTTGCACTGCAACACCCAGCAGCCCCTGTCCCCAATTCTGGATGCTGTGAGTGAATCTTTGGGGTTGTCTTTCCAGGGGGATCCGACAACCACTTGATCCTGGTGGATTTACGCAGCCGAGGGACCGATGGGGGCCGGGCGGAACGGGTCCTGGAGCTCTGCTCTATTGCCTGCAACAAGAACACCTGCCCAGGTGAGGCTGCGCAGGGTTCAGGTGGGGTCATGGCAGGCCATTGTCCAGCAGCTCCAAAGGTGAGAGCTGATACTGTGTGTGAAAGTGTGTGTGTTGTGTACATTGTGTGTGTATATACATATATATGTACATACATACATACAGGTGCATATATACTATATACACACATACTCTGTATACATGTGTATGTGCATATAAATATATACCCTATGTATATGTGTATGTGTGTATGTATATATATACTGTGTAGGAGTATACATATATATTCATACAGGATATATATACTATGTTTGTACATACATATGGTATATATACACATTTATACATATATGCACTTTATATATACACACAGTATATATACATATGAACATACACATATTACGCCTTGTATGTATATACATGTGTGTATACACATATATATGTACTGTGTGTATGTATGATACATATAAATATATATTCATTGTGTATATATACATGTGTGTGTTTGTATATATATATATATATATATATACACACACACACACACTATATACACACTTTGTATATAAATGTGTATATGTGTGTATAATACACAATGTAAATGTACATATATATACATACAGTGTGTGTGTGTGTGTGTGTGTGTATATATATATATAGTGTATCATATATATATATGTATATACTCACATACACACACATATATTTGTGGTGTGCATGTATATTCACACACACACACACATATACTCTTGTGTGTGTGTGTATCATGCAATCCTGAATGCCAATAGGGTAGAATGCGAAACAATACTTGTATTTAAATACACCAGAGCGAGTTTGCCATTGCCTTCCTCTGAGGCTGAGAGAAAGTGACTTGCCCAAGGTCAGCCAGTGGGTTTTCATGGCTGAGCCAGGATTCAAACCCAGGTCTCCAGGATCATAATCCAAACCAAAACATTATGCCACACTTGCTCTCTTGGGTGCTTTTACACTGTAGGAACAACACAATTTGACACAGCCCAGGCAAAGTGAAGTTTGGAAGAGAAGGCCAACAATGTTGTAAAACTACAGCTCCCAGGATCACACAGCATTGATCCAAGGCAGTTAAAGTGATATATAAAACTGGGTTAATTTTACACTGTGAGAAAGAATGGCATCAAAGGTGTCAAACTCCCATCTACTGGGTGGGAAAGGATCCCAGTACCCCTTTTTGTGCATTTCTTTCCCCACCTGGTCTGCTTCCCATTTTATCTCATTTATTGTGTGATTTCCTGACCTTTGCAGGAGACAAAAGCGCTTTGCGTCCCAGCGGCTTGCGGTTGGGGACACCGGCCCTGACCTCCAGGGGGTTCGTGGAGGCGGACTTCCAAAAAGTGGCCCACTTCATTCACAAAGGTAAAGGGACCGCTGGTGGGATTCAGTCCCCGACTTCCTTTCCCCATTTCCTTCCTTTCGATGCACATAGAGCGCTATCTGGCCTTGTTGTCACTCCAGATTGTCCATAGACTTATACTGCAAGACTGAAGTGTTCTCTCGGTTAAAAATTAGTGGGGTTTTTTTCATTTTCAGGTTTTTCCTATTATTATTATTATTATTATTATTATTATTATTATTATCGCCTTTCTCATGTCACTTATTATTATTCCAGAGCATTGCACAACTCCATGCTGGAATGTTTGGAAAAGTTAATTATTGTACTTGTATTATTATTATTATTATTATTATTATTATTATTATTATTATTAGAAACACAAGATGAGTCCACAGAAGACACTCTGCTGGCTGTTGTATTGAATCACACATCAGACACTTCCCAAGTGTCTAGGACTGTGTGATGCATTGGTGAATAATGCGTGCAGATCCCAGTAAGGTGGCCTTCTGCAGCTGGCAGATGGTAATTTTGTCAGCGCCGATTGCGTTTAAGTGCAGGCCAGGGTCTTTAAGCACTGTACCCAGTGTGCCGATTACCACTGGGACCCCCTTGGCTGGCTTGTGCCAGAGTCTTTGCAGTTCGATCTTTAAATCCTCATATCATGTCAGCTTTTCCAGTTGTTTCTCTGCAATCCTGTTGTCACCTGGGATTGCAGCATCAACGATCCATACTTTGTTTTTTAACAAAGGTCAGGAGTATTATTATTATTATTATTACTACTATTATTTGAAACACAAGAAGATGAGTGTACAGCAAACAAGACCACTATGCTGGCTTTTGTATTTGATCACACCTCGGATACTTCCCGAGTGTCTAGGACTGTGTGATGTATCGGCGAATAATGAGTACACATCCGAGTAGGGTGGCCTTTTGCACCTGACGGATGGTAATTTTGTCAGTGTCTATTGTTTTTAAGTGCAGGCCAAGGTCTTTAGGCATGCACCCAGTGTGCTGATAGCCACTGGGACCACTTTGACTAGCTTCTACCAGAGTCTTTACAGTTCAATCTTTAAATCCTCACATCGTGTCAGCTTTTCCAGTTGCTTCTTGTCAACCCTGCTGTCGCCTGGAATTGCAACATAGATGATCCATACTTGTGTTTTTTTCCACGATTATGAGGTTAGGAGTCTTGTGCTCCAAAACTCTTGTCAGTCTGAATTTGGAAGTCCCAGAGTAGTTTGATGGGTTCATTTTCCATAACWTTTTCAGGTTTGTGATCCCATCTATTATTATTATTATTATTATTATTATTATTATTATTATTATTATTATTATTATTATTATCATCATCATCATCATRATCATTATCATCATCATCATCCCCTTTCCTCTCCAAAACAAGACTCTCAAAGCCAGAAAATGTGATTAGGTGTGGAATCCCACCTATTATTATTATCATCATCATCATCCCCCCTTTCCTCTCCAAAACAAGACTCTCAAAGCCAGACAATGTGATCAGGCGTGGAGTCCCACCTCCTATTATTATTAATGTTATTATTATCATCATCATCATCATCATCATCCCCCCTTTCCTCTCCAAAACAAGACTCCTGAAGCCAGAAAATGTGATCAGGCGTGGAGTCCCACCTCCTATTATTATTATTATTATTATTATTATTATTATTATTATTATTATTATTGTCATCATCATAATCCCCCCTTTCCTCTCCAAAACAAGTCTCCCAAAGCCAGAAAATGTGATCAGGCGTGGAGTCCCACCTATTACTATTATCATCATCATCATCATCCCCCCTTTCCTCTCCGAAACAAGACTCTCAAAGCCAGACAATGTGAATGGCTGACTGTAATAACCATCATCCACTTCTCAATGCAACTGCAGAGGTTGGCCATAGGGTCACAGTGAACTTAAAAGAAGTGTTCTCTCAGTTTTAAAATAGTGTTTTTTCTTTACAGGTTTTCTACTTTTGTAGGTGTTGTATGCCAACAACAATAATAATAAGCCTTGATATTGTCATCATCTATCTCATGCCACTGATGATAATAATAATAATAATTCCTATCACTATTATTATTAAATGTATTGTTATTATCATCCCCTTTTCCTCTCTCAGACAAGACTTAAAGCCAGAAAACATGGCTGACTGTATTAACTATCATCCACTTCTGCGTTTCCTTTTTTAATTGGTATGAAAAAGGTGTGCTCCCCTCTGATACGTATACGATGGCAAGGGATGAAACCCTTGCAGGGTGAGAAAGGTAGGGTATAAATGAAGCAAATAAATAAATAAGGGATGATGGGAGTTGCAGTCTAAGCCTATCTGCAAGGACCTCCTATAATTCATCCTTTAAGAATTTGGAAACATCGATCTTAGTCCAGAAAAAAGGGTCCAGAAGCACTTCTTAAGGTCTTTTGACTTCAGGTGCACCTCTGTGAAGGTGAATAGGACTCTGGTGTCAATATTGAGATAACAAAGCAACAGTTCCTCAATTGGGGAAGGACTCTTTCATCCTCTCCTTTTAATAAATAACCAGCTTTTCCCCCTTCTGCTCCATCCATACTAGTGGGTGCTTTCAGGATATATAGCAGGATATGCCCCCAGTGGTGCAGCGGTTTAAACTGCTGAGCTGCTGAATTTGCTGACCGAAAGGTTGGCGGTTCAAATCCAGGGAGTGGGGTGAGCTCCCATTGTCAGGCCCAGCTTCTGCCAACCTAGCAGGTTGACGGTTCAAATCCAGGGAGTGGGGTGAGCTCCCGTTGTCAGGCCCAGCTTCTGCCAACCTAGCAGTTCGAAAACATTCAAAGGTGAGTAAATCAATAGGTATTGCTTTGGCGGGAAGGTAACGGCGCTCCATGCAGTCATGCCGGCCACATGACCTTGGAGGTGTCTACTGACAATGCCGGTTCTTCGGGTTAGAAATGGAGATGAGCACCAACCCCCAGAGTTGGACTCGACTCAATGTCACGTCAAAGAGAAACCTTTACCTTTGTTTACGTCTCAAAGTGGGAAAACTGAATACAAGGGGCTTTATCCTCAATCATGATCCTGTCAATCCCAGTGGAAGTACCTGTGCTTCCCAAATATTTTCTAGCATTTTCCGTGTCATCCTCACAGGTATAGAGATCACCTTGCAGGTGCAGAATGAGATGAGCCCCAAAGCGACGCTGAGAGAATTCAAAGAGAAGCTGCTCTCTGATGGAAAGTACCAAGCGCTGATGGCGTCTCTCAAGGAGGAAGTGGAGACCTTTGCCGATTCCTTCCCGCTCCCCGGTTTGCCCGTCCTGTAAAGGAGCATTATGGGATGTTGTACCCGGGACATTCCACAGATATATAAACCCCACTTGCCTAGTTTCCAACAGGCCTCACAACCTCTGAAGATGCCTGCCACAGATGTGGGTGAAACGTCAGGAGAGAATGCTTCTGGAACATGGCCATACAGCCTGGAAAACTCACAGCAACCCAATGATTCTGGCCATGAAAGCCTTCGACAACACATAGGATGCGTTTTCTGTCCCAGTTGTATAGCTTTGTATGAGAAATATCAACCCAAAAAAAAGGATGGTCCAGACACTTTTTACTGAGCACAATAAAATTAAAAGGGTGGCCACAAGGGTTCGAGAAGCTTTAAAAAATACAACAAATATACATATTTGTATTTCAAAAAATATTTGAACCCCAATAAATAATTTCGCTTCCAATGTACCCTTTCCCTTCCTGTGTGTTTTTTGATATTGTTGGTTGTCATCTTGAGTAGGTTCTCTTTGAATATCACGGACACACAAAAAGCATGCTGCTCTGATTTCGCCCACAAAGACACACTGTTGCTGTGGTTCTCCCTTCCAAGTACCACCTCGATGCATAGAATGGGAAAGATAGGAAATGTGAGTTTGCAAAACTGCACAGAAATACTGCCAACTCCTTAAGTATGGAGTCAGAAGGTCAGCAGCTCTCATTGTTGATGGCCTACATCCCATATAAATCATATATCATAGTTTACATCCCATGTTATGGCCTATCATCCTAAATAGTCTTCCTTTCTGATGTTTATCTCTAGCTAAATCTGCATTATAGTTAGTGTAGATCCATATAAGGCAGGCATGGGCAAACCGCGGCCCTCCAGGTGTTTTGGACTACAACTCCCACAATTCCTAACAGCCTACCAGCTGTTAGGAATTGTGGGAGTTGGAGTCCAAAACACCATGCCTGATATAAGGGCGATTTTTGAATGGCATATGAGTACACCATATAATAGCCTTTCCAAACTGCTTTATATGGCAGTGTAGATCCAGCTTCCATGAACCTGTTGCAAAGGTTAGAGCTAACTTCCTTTAGTCACAATAGCCTAAGAGCTTCCTGCTTCTGATCCCGTGCAAATGCCAACTTCCTTCCCTTCGATAGCATTTTAATGTGACGTAACAAACCTGCAAGCTTACAACTCGCTATGGTTAGCTTTAGGGACTTTTAAACCAGTTTGCTTCCTATTCGAAACAAGATATTCATAATATAAAACAAAGCGCCTCATCACACTAGAGAATGAATCCACTTGTGTGTGTTGTGTACATTGTGGATGTATATACATATATATGTAGACACATACATAAACATGCATATATACTATACATACACACATATATAGTATATAAATATATGCACTATATATATGAGTGTGTATGTGTGTGTGTATATATATATATATATATATATATATATATATAGAAAGAGAGTATTTATATACATATATGTGGACTGTAGGAGTATACACACATATATTCCCACAGGATATATATACTGTGTATGCATATAGATGTTACATATACACATTTATACATATATGTGCTTGATTTATACACACAGTATACATACATATGAACGTACACATATTACATCTTATGTGCATATACATGTGTGTATACACATATATGTACTGTGTGTAGGTATGATACATATAAATATATACATTGTGTATATACATGTGTTTGTGTGTGTATGTGATATATATATACACACACACACACACTATATACACACTTTGTATATACATGTATATATGTGTGTATAATACACAATGTGGGTGTACATATATACATAGTGTGTGTATATATATATATACATAGTGTATCATTATATATAGAGAGATATAGATATATACACACACATACATATATATATACACACACACATATATATATTTGTGGTATGACTCCTGCAGAATTCCGGGGTTTGTAGTTTAGGGAGGAGCCTTTAACAGCCTCACCAAACTACAAATCCCTGAATTCTGCAGGAAGCAGAAACCAGATTTAAAGTGGATTCATTCTCTAGTATGATGAAGTAGTAAGAAAGATGGGCGCGAGAAATTTGGGGGCTTTCTCATCTCACCTTCCAACCTTTTGTGGCAGATGGGAGATGAAATCAAGGCGAACTAATATTCTGGAAACTCATTTTGGGGGAACTTTTCAAACCAAGGAGACAATCTTGAGTCTCAAATTCTGCCGGTCCCATAATGGAGCAAGCAGTGAAGTAGTTAAAACAAGTTGGAAATACTCGTAGCCTTCAATAATTGCAGGATATAAGGTTTCCATTTCCTTTAGCAGGCTCTACAGTAGGATGAACTTGCAGCAGAGCATCCAACTACATGGGAATCCCTGTGACGCAGACTAGTATGGCATTTCCATACATGGTTCATCTTGGTCTACATGTTCCATAAACATTGGACAGCACAGCTGGAGCGATTGCAGGGAAGGCTCCAAATTTGTGTCAGAGTCACAAATGCAGGCAGGTTAATAAGACTGAAGCTCAAGTTTGGTCATTTCCTGGCTGGACTCCTATTGCAGGAGATGGGAAATATGGCTCAAAGGCAAAAGACAGAGGAGCACTAGATAGCATTTTGGGATGGAGAGGCTCAAAGTCTCCCATAATATCGATTCCACATCCAAAAACAAAAGAGACTATTTCAAGTTTAAGGAGCCGAACGGAAGCTCGACAACCTGGATTCTATATATTCCAGTATAAACACAGCAACTTTACCCATAATGTCTTAACAGCAGATGGCATTTGACTCAAAAGGATAATAAAGCCTTGGCTTTATGATCCAAGTTTGTGGATAGGAAGTCGTATAGTGATGCAACCGATCTCCATAAAACTTGGAAAGTTCATCCAAAGCGACAATTAGGACTATGACATGTTAGCCATTGGCCAAATTGTCTAAAAAACACACAATGTGTTTTGTTTTTTTCTGTAAATGGAGAACCAAATGGCAAAGAGGTACGTTCGTTTTTCCCCCAATAAAAAGCAGCAAAAGGTGTCTTTTGTGGGGTGTTTTTCCAGCAACACAATATATATTTTTCTTTACTGAAGGAACTCAAAAAGTGCAGCATAACAAGGCAATCTCCCTTTCAAACGGGACACTTTTTCTCCCTCCCTGCCCTGCCTCCTATATATTCATTATTTATATACAGTAGTGCAGATTTGCATCAAGTTTCCCAGAATGGGCCAAACATTAAACCCTTTGAAGCTTCCAGGAACTTTACATTCGATTTCAGAGCCCAAAAGAGGTTTCAAAACACACACACACAACACCTATTTTTCCAGTTATTCTTGTAAAACACGTGTCCCTCTGTCGCCAGCCGCTCGGTAACAGGAAGCAGAACAGTTCTTAAAAAGGGAAATAAAACCAGTAAGGCATTGCTCGATCCTTAAAAGTGATATCCAGTTGCGATATGCTGCCGGATTATTTATGTATATCTCTCCCCACAGCCACAAAGATGTCGGAAAGGTCCTTTCTGTAGTATTCAAGCAGAACTCCACAGAAGGACCCAAGCTGATAACGTAGCTTAGGGTTTTGGAGGATTTAGGGACCTAAAAGTCCTATTCTTACCAAACTGGATGGCCAGCAACCACCATTAACTCCCAGTGATGTTATTATAGAGGTAGTAAAACACTTGGAAAGCCATAGGGTTCAAATGAGGACACAGGGTGGGCGTTCACTGATTCAATGCAGGCTTCAGGCTGGTTATGGCAAAACAAAATCCAGTGTGGAGCAGAGGGAGTCTAACTCTAGCCAAATTCTGTTCCTGATGAAGCTTGACTGCTAAGGTGATGCTATAGACGGCTCCAGAGCACGTCCTTTCCCTTTGACAGAAGACATAGTTTTCTTTTCTCTCCAGAGCTACAGAAAAGACATGGTTCTAGGAACGGAGAGCCAGTCGTGGCCAACTCCTAATGGTTGACAGTCACACTGCTGGACCTCTGAAAAAAGGGAGAATGTCTCTGCTGTGATTGAGACCAGGAGAACCCAGAAATGCCCCACTGGAATGTCTTCCTCTCTGGCCTCATTTACCCTGTGGTTTCTTTTGTGGCTTCCTGCAAAGGGAGCCATTGCAATCCCCAGCAAATGTGGTACAGGAAGATGATGAACTTTCCATGATTGGATGGCTGAGAGCTGACCTGCCAAGATCTTTAGGGAGAGAATTGAACTCCATTTTCTCCAAAATACTGTATTTCCAATGAGTGCACCTCCAAGAATGCACTCCCTCCTCATCTTTCCCTGCTTATGCCTCTGACCATGTGCTAAGCGGCTTTCTCTCTCTTTGGGTGCATCTACACAGTAGAATTAATGCAATGTTGACACCGCTTTAACTGCCATGCCTAAATGCTTTGGAAACCTGGCAGTTGATGCCTTGCAAGATGTTTAGCCTTCTCTGCCAAACTATGACTCCCATGATGCACTGACCCATGGGAGTTAAAGTAGGGTCAACTGCATGCAGTCTACAGTGTAGACACAGCCTCTGATCACCCACCACTCCAAAAAGGCGCTACCCTCTGATTCCCCTTTGAAGCAGCAATAAGATAGCCTTAGTTCTTTCCGAAGAGGTCCGACCAGGAATCGGGAAGTCTTATTTTAATGAGGCTGACTGAGCTGCTCCCTCAGGCCCTGCACAACATACCGCAAGGACCGTGGAAACCTTGGAGGCCTGTAAATGATGGCAGAGCAGCATTGTGAGATGGCGAAGGAATGAGAAGGTCAGGCTAAATCTTGTACAAAGCGCTGGGCACGTAGTCAAACCTGAGCACGGGACTGACCCCTCGGACAGGATCCTGAACGAACTGAAGTTTCAGGAGCTCAGCGAGATATTGGACCACCTTGCTGTCCTCGTTGGCCAGGCCCAGGTGCATCTTCAGGAAGTTTAGCCGCCGGGAAGCCATGGAGGCCTCGGTCTCGCCCTCTTTGAGCGGCAGGTGCAGGTGGTGGCAGAAGGCGAAAAGGAAAGCCTTGGCGCTCAGCTGTGTCAGGAGTGTCTGGACGTGCATGAAGTAGGTGCTCCCGCGCTTGATCTGCGTCCGGTGGTCGGCCAGGCGCGGGATCAGGGTCCCCCGGTACTGCGGGCAGCGAAGGGTTTTGCTGTCGGCGTCCAGGATGCTGATGTACCGCCCATACCGGATGAGGGAGTGCATCATGCTGACACCGGCTGGGGAAGATGACCTGGAAAAGAAAGTTAAAGGGAGAGTTGGAAGGCAGGCTGCCGCAAAGAGGCAAAACTGTCGCCAAAGTAGAAAAGATGAGTTAAGAATTTACGTAGAGAATACATAGAGGCTCCACTTACGCTAACTATTTAATGCAGAATCAAACCGGTGTTTTGTGTGTGTGTGTCAGGAGTGACTTGAGAAACTGCAAGTCGCTTCTGGTGTGAGAGAATTGGCTGTCTGCAAGGATGTTGCCCAGGGGACGCCTGGATGTTTTGATGTTTCACCACCCTTGTGGGAGGCTTCTCTCATGTCCCTGCATGGAGAGCTGGAACTGATAGAGGGAGCTCATCTGCGCTCTCCCCAGATTTGAACCTCCGACCTGTGGGTCTTCAGTTCTGCCGGCACAGGGGTTTAACCCACTGCACCACCGGGGGCTCCAGTGTTGAATAAAATGTTTTCACTGTGCGGATGAGTTTATGTTCTTGTTTTCATGTTGATATATTTTATTTTATGCATTATGTATTTTATGTATGGCATCTTAATAATAGGTAAAACGTAAAGGTTTTCCCCTGACATTAAGTTCAGTTGTGTCTGACTCTGGGGGTTGGTGCTCATCTCCATCTTTAAGCCAAAGAGTCGGCATTGTCCGTAGACACCTCCAAGGTCATGTGGCCAGCATGACTGCATGGAGCGCCATTACTTTCCCGCCGGAGCGGTACCGATTGATCTACTCACATTCACATGCTTTTGAACTGCTAGGTTGGCAGAGGCTGGAGCTAACAGCGGGAGCTCACCCCGCTCCCCAGATTCAAGCCTGCGACCTTTCGGTAAGCAAGTTCAGCAGCTCAGTGGTTTAACCCACTGCACCACCGGGGGCTCCATCTTAATAATAATAATAATAATAATAATAATAATAATAATAATAATAATATAAAACTTTATTTCTATACGTCCCTCTCTCCCCAAGGGGACTCAGGATGGTTTACATATAAGAAGGCAAGACATTCAATGCCTAAGTGAGTACAAAACATACCAAAAACATATCAAAATACATGATAGAGCAGAATAATAACAGTGACTTTACTACGAAGGATTAAGCATTGAGATAAAAATATAACAGAATAGTCAGTAAGACATAATTAACTAAAAAATAAATAAACATTACAAAAAATATTCTCAAACCAGTTGAAAATACAGTTACATTAAAAATGGCTGACGCCGGTATTCCTTTAAGATGTATTGTGTGCTATTTCGTAAACCCCATGAGAGATGGTGCCGGGGTAGAAATAAAGTATTAGTATTATTATTATTATTATTATTATTATTATTATTATTATTATTATTATTATTATTAAGCCAGTGTGTGACTTGGATTTTGATGACACAAACCACAGAGCACTGATGCACATTGAAGGCTTCCTTTTGCCTCTCCTGGACCTAAACCAGTGGTTCTCAACCTTTCTAATGCCATGACCCCTAAATATAGTTCCTCATGTTGTCGTGACCCCCAACCATAAAATTATTTTAGTTGCTACTTTATAACTGTAATTTTGCAACTGTTATGAATTGTAATGTAAATATCTGGTATGCAGAAGGTATTTTCATTGTTACAAATAGAACATAATTAGTAATTTTTTTGAGATTAATCAGTGATTAATCTCAAAAACAATATGGGGAAGTATAGTCAATGGATGATGAGATTTGCAGTATTTTCAACCGATTCAGCTCTGGCTTCCACAGACCACTGAGACCCCCAAAAATGACAGGCCTGGACCAAACTTGGCATACAGAACTCCCATGACCAACAGAAAATACTGGAGAGGTTTGAGGAAAATAGACACCGACATGTGGGAGTTGGAGTTACTTGGATGTATAGTATACCTGCCATCAAAGAACATTCTGAACACCATCAACAATGGAATTGAACCAACCTTGGAATACAGAAGTCCCATCACCAACAGAAAATACTGGAGAGGTTTGGGGAAAATAGACCCTGACATGTGGGCATTGGAGTTACTTGGATTTACAGTTCACCTGCCGTCAAATAACATTCTGAATGCCATCAACAATGTATTGTCGAAGCCTTTCATGGCTGGAATCACTAGGTTCTTGTGGGTTTTTTCGGGCTATATGGCCATGTTCTAGAGGCATTTCTCCTGACGTTTCGCCTGCATCTATGGCCAAGGCGCCCAAACACGAATCAAGGAACATGAAAGGCACTGCAGACTACTTCAACCAGAGAATCAGCCATAGCAGAGCACCTGATGAACCAACCTGGACACAGCATTTTATTTGAGAACACAAAAATGCTGGACCACTCTCACAACCACCATGTCAGACTACACAGAGAAGCCATTGAAATACACAAACATGTGGACAATTTCAACAAAAAGGAGGAAACCATGAAAATGAACAAGATCTGGCTACCAGTATTAAAAAATTCTAAAATTGCAACAGCAAAAACAGCAGAGAGGAAACAGGCAGGGACATCTAATTACCTTTCAAGAAGAGTTTGCTCCAGGCACAGTCAGCCCATTGTATGCTAATCAAGGTGGTCAGTTGAAAGATTCACACCTAGCCCAACTGACAAAAGTCCTTTGTCTCACCCTGGTTATTCCACAGATATATAAACCCCCTTTCCCAGTTCCAACAGACCTCACCTGAGGATGCTTGCCATAGATGCAGGCGAAACGTCAGGAGAAATGCTTCTAGAACATGGCCATATAGCCCAAAAAAACCAAAAGAACCTAGCCATCAACAATGGATTTGAACCAAACTTGGCATACAGAACTCTCGTGACCAAAGGAAAATACTGGAGAGGTTTGGGAGGATTTGACAGTGATTTGGGGGCGATGTAGGTCCCCTACATCCAGAGAGCATTGTGAACCCAAACAATGTCCTACTGCAGTTATTTGCAACCTTTGTTCCTCCTCGTTATTTTAAACTACCCTGCCCAGAATTCCTGACAGTCGGTTGAGATAGCTAGAGCTTCTGGGAGTTGAAGTCCCAAACACCTGGAGGAACAAAGGTTGGGAGCCACTGTAGACAACTCCCTGGCACGCTCCCCTCAGCCTCCTTTCCCCCTATCTCCATGTTACAGAGCGCACCATGCAGGAGCACACCGGCCAGAAGAAGGGAGTGCTTGGATTGTGTCTTCCTGTCTGACAGAATGGGGCTGGAGTGGATGAGGTTTCTTCCAGTTCTTTGGGTTTCTTCCAATTCTAGGATTCAATGCAGTAGAATTCAAAGACATTGCCCTGATAAGCCAATACGATGTGCAAATGTCAATATAATCCCCTTTCAATACATCACATGGGCCTTGAGAAGCATTGGGGACTGTCTGTCTAGTAAAGGAAATCTTAGGACCTCATCATATGCCCAGAGACAAGAACGGAAGTCACTGAGTGTGTATTGATACACATGCACCTCCTTTTTGGCTGTGCGATGCCACTGCTAGACTTGCGAAAAACGGAGAGGCAGGGCGAAAAGCAACGGGTGCCCCAGCCTTGCCATTAGGAATAATTGGGCTTCCATTGCTGCTGCCCGCAGAAGGCTCCATCTGATGAGCTCCATACTGTTAGATGCCCAATTGTCCTGTTTCAAGTTCTGACGTCCCATTACACATTGCTCTCTATAGGTGTTCATCCATCATTGCCCATGTTTGGAAACATCACACAAAGAATCCATTTGTCTACCCTCCCTGTATTTTCTTTTTACCATTGACAGATCTGGCATTCAAAAGCAGTATTTTTAGTCCAGGGGGTCTGTCATGGAGACTACCGCACCTAACCTTCTCCAGGGTCGCAAGTACTCTGCTGTGCTTCTCCCTGGGTAGAAAGTGACCTATCTTCCTCCTTCCTTACACCACCTCAATGGCACCCGACCCATTCGGAACCCCTCCCCCTGATGGATAGTCTGATTGGAACTATGTGGAACTATGTCCTGGAGAGATTAGTCAGCTCTTCAAAACCAGAGAGCCACCTAACGAATTTATTTTACCAGAGGAGGAGGAAGAGATCTCCAAAGGAGATAGGGAGAAAGAGACATCTGAAATGGGGAGGGGGCTAAACAATGGGAGCGTGTATGGGCGGGATTGGATATTGGAAGAGGCAGGGATGGGCGCATAGGGAGGGAGTCTCAAAATAAAACTCTAACGAGGAAGGGGCTAAAATGGCAGGACTTTCTACCCTAATGCTGGGGCTTTAAGAAACCTGCGAATGTGACCTCAGCCTGACCACCAGTGGATCAATGGATCTACAAACACCTTTCTAAAAATAATGCCCCAGTGTTTTACTTGAGGCCCCAGTGAGAACAGCTCCTCCACTAGCAATCTGTCCTCCAATGAGATGAGAAGACACATAGAACAGTCCCAAGATTGGTCGTCTCTATAAAGCCAGTCGATGGTTTTGATCTTCACTTCTGACCGGCTTACCGATAAAATTTGGGATACAGAGATCTGGACCACTCTCTTTGATGTCCATTTGCCTCTGTTCCATAATGAGTCCACAGACAAGTTATTAGTCCCCAGGAGATGTTGACAATGGTGTGGAGTGTCCAAAGTTTGTTCAACGGGCTCAGTTGTTAACTTATTGTCTATGTTGTGCAAGGCAAAGCTTGCATTTTCCTGGCTCGTTCTCCCCCCTCCCCAAAAAGCCTCAATTCCTGACCTATCATCTATTTTCTGCTCCTCAAACCTATTTCTCTCCTGGCCTTCCGTTGCAGATACATCCTCAACAAGATTCTTCAACACAGCGGGTTCCGTTTCTAGAATGTCACCAGGAGTGGGATTTTTCACAATCAAAGAAATTCCTTTAGAGAAGGTGGTCAATTTTCTTATTCGGGGTCTCAATCTGTTGCAGCACGAGGCTGAACGATTTCCCCAAGAGATCACATAGAAAGATTGTTGTTCCTATGAGTTTCCGACATACTTCTTTCCTATCACAGCCAAAAACTTTCCTATAGTACCACTCTAATCCTTCAAATTCCTACGCAACAACACAATATTCCTGTTTCCTA